TCTGGGTGTGAGTGCTACCAGCCCTCAGCCCTGGGCAGAATACAAGGAACAGACAGAAGCCTGCTAGGGTCGCTTTTCCCTGCTTGCTGCTTGCTACTTCGCTGCTTTGCTGCCTTCTGCCTACCATGAACTGTTTCCCCTCTGCCATTCCACCCTGCCTTGGAGCCAGCCAGCTATGAGCTGAAACCTCTGCAAACTCTGAGCCAATTAAACCTTTCTTCCTTTAACTTGGGTGTCAGGTATTTTGTCTCAACAATGAGAAAAGTACTTAAGACAAGTATTACATAATTTTTGGCTATTGCTGGTATATTATTTGGGGAGAGGAGGGGTGACGGGAGGAGCAGGGATGGATAGGGTCATTTTGGTTAGAATTTGGGGGCTGACTGGGGAAATGGTGAAACAATGTAAAGAACAACTAACAGTTTGGTCCTCTGTCCAGAATATTTTATCTTTTAAAAAAATGTGCTGGGTGTGGTGACACACTCCTCTAATCCCAGCATTCAGGAGGCTGAGGCAGGAGGATTGCCATGAGTTTGAGGCCAGCCTGGGCTACAAATGAGTTCAAGACCAGCCTGAACTACATAATGAGGTCCTGTCTCAGAAAAAAACCAAGCCAAGCCAAACCAAACCAAACCAAAACAAAAAAAGTCATTTGCACCATAAATGAGGACAGTAGGAGTGCTTAAAAGCGGTGAATGCCTGAAACCTATACAAGTCAAGATGTTCCTACCTGAGCTAGACGTTGACCACAAAGAACGAAGCCAGTTCATGAATTGCCAAAGCTACCATTCTGGAGACAGAAACAGAACTGGGAAAGTCTTTTACTGGAAAGGGTAGACAAACAGATCATTCTGTCTTAGAGGAACTTGCCTTGTAGCCCAGGCTGGCTCAAACTCACAGTGATCCTCCTGCCTCAGCCTCCTGAGATCCGGGATTACAGGTGTGAACCACCATGCCTGGCCTAGTTTTGAAATGAAGCAAAAGGCCCTTTTTTTCCCCTTATGAAATTATGAGTATCAGCCTGTCCATCCAAGCCACTGGCTGCAGCATTAGGAGCGAGACTGAGGGAGGTCGAGGAGATGCAGGAGTAGCAACATGTGTGCATCCATATTCTTAAGGCAGAAGTGTTGAAGCCGTGGTCCTTTCAGCTTTGAACTCTGCAAGCATTCGTGGCAGGGTTCAGTCATCGTCAGCACAAGTTCAGTGAGTTGGTTTGTTAGGGCAGGAGAGACTCCATTTTCTTTTTGTAACTCCATTTTAGAAGTCACTTAAACTTTACATGAACTCAGTTCTCCACTTCTTCCCTTATAGCTAACAATAACTATAAAATGAGAAACAAATAGTTAAATCAAATTGTAGGTAAGCTAAAATTTAACCGCACTAACAAACTCCTGGGAAATGTAAACTTTGTGACCATGACATGGCATTTTTGTAAAATTTCTAAATGAGGTACTGTGCTTAGCATGGTTAGTTGTAAAAGTGTAAAAACTCAGTAGAGAGTTCTCTGGTTGCTGACATCTTGTTTTTCTGACTCTTGGTCAGCGGTGTCAGTCACGTACTTTAATAAAGCTTTGTTTCTTCCCATGTTTTTGGCCTCTCGTGAGTACCTATCTCGTAGAATCTTGCCGCAACAGTTTCAAAGGTTGAGTGATTTCAAAAGCCCTGGCTTTAGGAGATGAACTTTCGCATTGGGGCAGTGGTTCACTGTAAAACACAAAATAAATTTTGGAAAAAAAAAATCTTAAGAATTAACATTGAAAAAAAAAGAATTAACACTGATACTGCAGGTACTTTGCCTGGAGTCATGAGATCCATCAGGGTTTTTTTTTTGTTTTGTTTTTGGTATCCAGAATTGAACTCAGGACCTCACGCTTGCCAGGTGGGCGCTGTGCCGCTGAGCTCAATCCCCAGTATCAGCTCTGGACACTGTCTGGAGCTGCACTGTAAAATCCTTTCAGGCATGTGTCACATTTCTGTGAAAATTTTCTTTAAGTGTAAACTTCATGACACGCTGTCAGTTTTTTGTCTTAATAAAATTATAGATTTGCAAAATAAAAAAGAGCTGTAACGCTAAGAGCGGAGAGCTACGGTACTCAGAGTCTGTAGCTGCTAACAAAGGGGGTGCTGCGCTAGGCCAGTTTGCGATCTCAGCTGAACAAAAGCACCGTCAGCCAACGGGTGATTTTTCCCTCCTCATCGCCAGAGTAGCTGGACGTACGGGTGCGCACACGGTCTCCTGGCCAACAAATATTTTGTGCAAGTTATATGCATTATAGACCTTCTGAAGAGAGGAAGAAACACAAGCTTAAATATCCCATGGTATTTCTTATGTGAGAAGCCCAAAATATAAATAAAGAGCAAAAGAAAAGTTAGATAATAGGAAAAAGAGTGACAGCGCTTTTGCAAACTTAAGGGAGCCAAGGGATGGAGAGGGAAGGGGAGGGGAAGGTGTGAGAAAAAGAATGAAAATGTGCTATATTCGTGTACCAATTCCTCCCAAGAAATGTAGTCACATGTAAGGCAAACATGTACTAATAAAGAAAACTGAAGAAGGTGGAGATTTAATTTTGAAATTAAATATGTGTTTTGAAGCACACTACACCAAAGGTTCATTACAATATTTATTTATTTGTTTTTCTTTTTTTTAATTTTAAAGTGAAAAGAACAAACACAAACTTACAAATACAAAGTCATAAACAAAGCAACACAAACACAATAAACATGATACGGTATTTTAAACAAGGTGGTAGAAAATCAGCAGTGGTTGTTGTATTACATATGGTTATCTTCAGATTGGTTACTCAGGTAACCAGATAGAGGCATGTGAGGTTGATCAAACAATTAAACATTAACTGTTCCTTTCAATAAAGCAATAGAAATTAGTAGTACAATTATCTGAGCTATCGTGTGTGTGTGTGTATGTGTGTGTGTGTGTGTGTATACACACACACATAACATTTCCCTTCCTTCTTTCTTTCTTTTCTCTTTTCCCTCATCCCAGTTGTTCTTTCCTTTTGAGCAGTTTCTTTTCCTTTCACAATATCTATTGTACCTTTCAGATTTTATACAAAATTTAAAAGAATCACACAATAAGATGACTAAATAATTGGAGATTTGTATTATATAAAATCAATAAAAGCAAAAGTATTCAGACTCTAGCAGTACTATTCAGCCCGTTTCTGGGCCATATTGCATATATTTTTAAGCTGTAAGTTTCTCATAGCTCCTACAAAATGTTTAGCTCAGGGCATGTGCATCTCACAAACCACAGCATAAAACGTACATAACTGGCTGATTTGTTCACTAAAGGTCGGTAGAGGTGGCAGTGTGGAATACTTTTTTCATGACTGTTTGAGTCCGGAAGGAATAGTTGTCCCAATATACTGATTAACAAGTCAATTTTGCATTTTGTTTTATCACTAAACAACCTGGAAGGGTTGAAAAAGACAGATGCATTAATGCTTTTTTCTTTTGGAGTTAAATATGAGAATTTATGTTAGTACTACTAACAAGCATAATTCAGGGTAGAAGTGGACATTTTCCAAAGCCATCTTGGTTGACTTTATTTTATTTTATTTTATTTATTTTTCATCTTTTTGAGGCAGGGTCTTGCTATGCAGTTCAGGCTGGCCTTGAGCTCACTTTGTAGCGCAGGCTGTCTCGAACTTGCAGTGATCCTCCTGCCTCAGCCTCCTTGCTGCTGGGATTATAGGTGTGTGCCACCATGGTTGGCTTTGGTTGATTTTAATAATTATGAGTAAAACTCCATTACCCATAGCAAAGCCAATAAGAGCCTATTATTTAGGCCAGGTGTGGTGGCACACGCCTGTAATCCCACTACTCAGAGTTCCAGAGGTTCCAGAGTTCCAGAGCTGTGGGAAATAAATTTTTGTGGTTTAAAGGCCACCTTGTTCATAGTATTTTGTTATAGCAGCCTGAATGGGCTGAGATGTTGATTGGTTTATTCTACCTTAGTTCTCTTATCAGGAAACAGGGAATAATAATAGTTAACATTTATAGAACCTTTGCCCTGCCCTTGAGTACTGTTTCACCTAAAGTATTTATTCCTATCTGTAGTAGATGCTACTAATATTATCCCTATATTACAGATGGGGAAATAGCCAAGCTCAGTTTGCCCAAGGACACTCAGATATAATAGTAAAATACAGTGAAAGTAAATGGAGAATTGAACAGCCTGGCTCCATAGTCCAAGGGTATAATCCCTAAAGTAGATGGTATATATCTAGGAGTGGTTGGTGTGAAGATCAAGTGAGATAAAGCAGGGAGTGTTCACCACACACAGTCTATAGTCCAGCACCATGCAGCATGAGAGAGCTATTCTTTACAAGTACTCTGGCCTACAGGCTGCTATCCCAAAGTCCTCTGAGAAAATATTGTAGTCTTTCAGCTTCCCATTGTGATCTCGTTTACATAGGGGCCAAACCCTTTTCTCCTTCAAACCTTACACTACCTAGCAGTGACATCCAGCCTTTTGGGTATAACTGTCAGCCCCGAGTCTGTCTCTCCAACTTCCCTGCAGACATAAATATCTACTTAATGGATTGCCCTTGCAGTTCTATTCCTCTTGCTAATCTAATTTTTTTTTTTTTTTTTTTTTTTTTTTGAGAGAGGGTCTCACTATGTAGTTCAAGCTGGCCTTGAACTCACTATGATAGCCCAGGCTAGCCTGGAACTTGTGGTGATCCTCCTGCCTCAGCATTCTGGGTGCTGAGATTACAGGCATGTGCCCACGAGGCCCTGGATTGCTATTCTAAATTTTTTAACTAAGAGAGTGATGCCTTCTGGATAGTTGTAGTTCCTCCAGTCCTTCTTTCATTCATGTATTTATTGTACAGATAGTCGATGATCTATGTATGATGGTTAACTTTAGCAGTGACTTCATAGATTAAGGAACATTTAAAGAAGAGATGAAGGTGTTTGCAGAGGACACTGGTGTGAGTTGGTGGACTGAATGAGGAAGAACCGCCCTCTACGTGGGAAGGCACCATCCAATCAGTAGGGACCAGGTAGAGCACAAAGGGCAGAGATTAGGTGATTGCTCCATATTTGTAGCTGGCATATTCTCCTCTCTTTGGACATCAGGACAACAGGAACTTTGGATTCCAGGACTTGCACCTGTGGCTCCACCCAAGTTCGCAGACCTTTGTTCTCAGACTGACAGTCACTTCGCTGACTTGCCTGTGGAACTGGACTGTGCCGCACGGCTGGCTTTGCAGGATCTCCAGTTTGCAGTCTGCCTGTTGTAGGACTTCTCGGCCTCTGCGACTGCGTGAGCCAATTTCTCTAATTCCCCTTCATACATCTCATCCTATCTATCCTTTTGTTTTTGTTTCCCTGGGGGATCCTGACTAATACCATTTGTGCTGAGCACATAGGTAGGCTCTAAGGAGAATAAATTTACTGATATGTTTTCTGCTTCTAAGAAAGTTATGTCATAGTTAGGGTTAGGGTGTTCTGCTTCTCCTGCCTGCCTTCATGTGTATATTGTTACTGCCTGGAATGTCCCTCCATCCCTACATCCCTTCTGGTTTCTCACCGTCCTATAGGAAGTAGTACCCAAATCACTGCTTCTGCTTCTTCTGCTTCTTCTTCTTTTTTTTTTTTTTTCTTGAGATAAGGTCTCACTATGTGGTTCAGGTTGACCTTGAACTTACTATGTAGCACAGGCTGGCCTTGAACGTGTGGCAATTCTCCTGCTTCAGCTTCCCTAGTGCTGGGATTGCAGGTGTGTGCCACCACATCTGGTCCCATATATCACTGCTTCTAGGATGCCTTTCCAACCTTACCAGACTACAGCTTCTGCTCCTTCCCAGCCTCATTAGACTGTGTTTGTGCTTCTGTTCTGGCCCCGGTCACACCGCACTGCATGTGTAGTTACCTCCCAGAGCGCCCCCTCTAGACAGTGGCCCCTTCACTGTGAGACTAAGTATCAGTAGACAGAGTCCCCTTGAGACGAAGGAAAGAATAAAATGAGGCCGT